TTGGGTTGGCAACTAAGTAATTGCCGATTTCAGTTATAGATGTCTCTCGCTCCCATTTTTATGATATCCGTAAATGTTATATTATAAAATTATTATTATTATTATTATTATGTTATTTTTTATTATCCGTGAATGTTAGCAACTGGACAAATTGAATGCAGCGGTCAAGGAAAAGCGACCAGAATTGATCAATCGTAAAGGTGTCATTTTCCACCAGGACAATGCTAGGCCGCACACGTCTTTGTCCACTTGGCAAAAATTGATGGCCATCGGATTACCACTTATTTCGATCCCTGGACAACTCCCTTCGTGGTAAAACTTTTAACGACGATGACGCTGTAAAATCTCACTTAACTCAGTTTTTGGCCGAAAAGGATCAGACTTTCTACGAGCGTGGAATTTTCAAGTTGTCAGAGAGATGGCAAAACAGATTAAACTTCGTTCCAAGTAAAAAAAATGTTTTATTTCATTGAACAAATCGGCAATTACTTAGTTGCCAACCCAATATGATAGGAAGAATCAGAAATCAATCTCATTTCTGTTCGGTGCCGATCATCTTCAGTTTCAATTGACTGACGTTGTATTCTACTTCGACTGTCTTTTATCTTGAAAATTCGCGAGCTGTACGTAAAGCAAATAAATAAACGAAGTACATGTCATTGTGGAGGTTACAGAAGCGCAAGAAGTAAGAAGTAGAATACATTCGATCGATGAGAATTAGCGACGATCGAGGAGCGTATCAAGAGCCGTAAAATGAGACGATCGCGAAGAAAATTACCTTCGGAGTAAAAAGGTGGCGCAGACCGTCGGACATGCCTGTCAAAGTGACGCCGCGGAAGAAGAATATGATCAGGACAATGTATGGAAACGTGGCAGTCACGTACACGACCTATAAAAGACATTCCAATTGATAAAGGTGTTCTAATAACTGGCTTAACCGGTTAATTATGCATTCTATGTATATAGCGACGCGTTCGGCGTTGAACACTTTAAAGGAATACCTTCCCTGAAGACGCGATTCCCTTGATCATGCACATATAAACGAGAATCCAAGCGATCACCAGCGCCAGAGCGATCTTCCAATTGAATAACTCCGGGCTATTGATATCCTTCGATATCATCAGAGTGGTCCGATACCAGAAGTATTGTGTAGGACTGCTGACCTGTGGAATCGGCATCGGTTGCAGCGTAATTGTCTTCATTAATTGAAAGACGAATCGGACTTACCACACACTCCGGCTCCGGGGCGTACGAGCCGTTCTGGAAATACACGTTCGGACATTCTGCCCACGGTAGCTCCGATTGGAAACTCTGCCAGCCAGAAGATTCAATTATTAGAACGGACAATGGGGGGGGGGGTACCCTCTATGTACATCTTATTGAAATAAATCTTATTGAAATCTTCTATCATCGAGAGAAATCCTGTATTATTTTTTTCACACGGAATTGTTCAACGGTTGTTCGATAATTGATAACCTGTTAACAATTTATGCCCTCGTCGATAAAGCAAATAGAAAAATGATTTGAAAATTAATCTTTCATTAATAAGCTGCAAATTCTTCCGTTACACGTTTCTCTCTTTCCGCTTTAATTATAGAACACATAAACTTGCACGATAACCGAAACTGATCCGGTTTGCGTGCAATTCGCACCCACGTTCGTGCGAGCATAAAGTGTTAAGTACGAATGTTATTACGTTCTTTTAAATAGGAATAAAATTCTGTTCTCTTGACATCGATATATAATTACTCGAGTCTTTTATAATAAATAAAATAAATAAATCGTCTTTTTCTTTTAAGAAACGATTGAAATCGAAAAGATGCGAACCGTTGCGACTAGGAAGATAATGGTACGGCGAAGGGTTATGTGTAAAAGTTACGTTCCGAATTCGCTACGATATTATCGTTAATTTGTGATTTTCGTAATCGGAGGACTTACTTGGACAAAGTAGAAGAGGCACCAAGCGATAATAGTGTTATAGTACAGAGCTACGTTGAAGGAAACTACGGCGCTGCTTATTCCTATGCCACCCATGTACGGAGAAACCTTTTGCAAACATGATAGACGGCTCGTGATTACGTATTCGGGTATATTTCGATTGTTTACCGTGATATTATACCGCGCATTGCGCGACAATCACCTGGTTCCACACACCGATAGCGCCCTTCCGTAATCTCTGGCCAATCGCCAGTTCCAGATAAAATATGGGGATGCCCTCGATAGCCAGCATCACGAAGTATGGGATTAGAAATGCGCCTGTTTTTAAAAGAACAAGCAAAGAATAAAAAGAATCGCGACTTGCGTCGAAATCGAGCTCCGAACATTCGGAAATCGCGTTCGAAATTGCTAGTTCTCGCTCACTTTTACGTTTCCGAAGCGAAAACGTGTTCTTTACAAACATACCTCCACCGTTCTTTTGAGCGAGGTATGGGAATCTCCATACGTTCCCGAGGCCCACTGCGTATCCGACAGTTGCTAACAGAAACGTGAGTTTACTATCCCAATTTTCCCTCTCGTCCTCGCCGGATTCCGGTCGGAATATCGTTTTCCCATCGTTGTTGGCGGTTTTGCTACCCCCACCCCCGCTCGCTGGTTTGCTCTGCAAATGAATTCAACGGAATGAAATCACCTATATATCTTTGTTCTTTCTAGATTATCGCAATTTATCGCAAGAAATTGAACAGATTGTTACTTTGGTCAAATAAATGTTTTTTACTTGCGCGAGAAATTTCTATCACACTGTGATCCCGAACGTCGACGTTCGCTCGCGAATCGAATCGGTATTTACCTTTGTGTTAGGACTGGAGTCTTCAAAGGCTGCGTTCGTGGCACCGTAATTGGCAGTACTGACATTTTTTCTGTTCTCCGTCATCAATCTTCCCCTCATCTCCTTCATCTCGAGTCTGTCGACGCTTTTCTGGGGCTTTAGATCGCGCGAGCTTTGCCGGCGGACAAGGTGGGCCGTGTTCGCCATTCTTTTCTTTTTTTCGTTTGTGGTGCGAGCCACGGGTTTCCTTCCTTGCTGGAATCAAACGGAAATGCCACACGCGCCTATGGACTCCATCCTTTCTGAAATCAGTCGTTTGAAATCGTTACGATCCACCTGAATCGCACGTCCACGATTTTCTCGGCGCAAGTTTGTGCTTAGAAAATCGTTGCTTAATCGCACGCTATCGAACAGAGGTGAAATTTCGTCGAGCCGTCGTGAAAATTCGAAGAACATTAAGCGTATCATCGAGTAACACCGAAATTTCTTTCTGCCTCGCACGATCGAGTTGAAATTACGTTCGCAACGTGTTCACGGAATTCCGTTGGTGCGCAAAGCTGAATGAACCTATCAGATAGCGAGGATTAAACCGAATCGTGCGCTGTAATACCGGAAGATTAGACGAGTTGTACAAAATTAATCGCGTCGAGTCAAAAGCCGTCTATGCATTGTTCGTTATTTTAGGGCTCGGTGAACGAAATTCATTTCCAACACGGGTTTCTCGCAACTATTTTGAACAGTTCGGACGTTACGGTAACATAATCCGAACTACAATGCTCAGAGTTTTTGTGCCGAATACAGAGAGAAACAACCGACGATCCGTTCTTCGTCGAAAAAACGCTTCACCAAAGTGTGCTTGTCCGAGCGGAACGTTCAGATTTTTCACAAATATTTCCGCTCGAGCACCGTTCGCTGGCTGTTCCTCTCATACCGTCGCACGCGCGGCTGCTAATCCTTCACGTGCGCGTCGAAAAAAAGTTTCGCAGAGAATTTGCAGGGAAAGAAACTTTCTAAAATTATCACGTTAATTTTCTTCAGCCGCGTTTATCGTTCGAACGGCGTCCTCTGCAAGCTTTTGAAAAATATTCGCACGTTCCGCCAGAACACCGTAGCGGATGAAAATTAAGAAGATCCCAAGGAGTTTACGGAAACGAGCGGATAACGAAGAAAGTTCGCGCCGCTCCGAGGTTTATCATCGATTAAGACCGAGCTTACGTCTGCTTAAACGAAAGCTTACTTAACGCTTAGAGCTTTGAGATCCGCGATACGTCGGGCAAGAGGACCGGGAAAACGGTTTTCGCACGTACCGAAAAAAGCAACAGAAAAAATGGCAACTTTCCCGAACAAAGTGCCGTTATATCTATCGATTGAAACGGCGCGAACGATCTCGGTTACCTAATATTTACGTGGCGGTGGAAAGCGAGATCCGAGGGGGGAGGGGGAGGGGCAGGGGAACTCGTAGTAAACAATAGGCAATAAAACAACGTGTCGATCACTGATCTCCCGGCACTCGAGCCCTCTTCCTCGCCGAAGCGAAGCACTCGGCGGAAACGTTGTTACAATTCCGATAGAAGAATCCGTCGCTGGATAAGCGCAAGCAGCCGCGAGAAGGGGGAGGAGATGTTTGCCTTTCAGCTTCACCACGTCCCTGACCTCGTACGCGAGATGCCGTCGAGTGCGGGCCGAGAGTCGCACTGAGAAATAGTTTTCAGCTGGAACGGCGCGCGGCAATCTCGGCAAATAAAGAGGGAAAAATCGATGTCCGCGATTTCCGTCCAGGGACGCTCCGTGTCGGAAAGGAAAACGGATTATCGTCACTGGTGCACAGGACATCGGGCGGCAATTCAACGCGACTGACATATACTACTTTCCCCGTTGACGTCATGGGTGGACCGATCGAGCGACGTTTGCCCACCTTTCGCGAGACCGAGCGCGTTCCTTCCGCGTGCGAGAAACGTAAATTCGGAGGACCGTGCCGCGGATATTGAGAATTCCATTCGGGACCCGCTGGGACTCGACGTGATCGCGTGGTGCCCGGGGGATGCGATTCGAACGGGATGGTACGGTGCACCGTGGCCGTCGTCGAACCGGCGCGTTTTAGATCGAGCGACGCTGCGACCGAACCGAGAGAAAGAAACGCCTTTGTTTCTTTGTCAGGATGTATCGTTTCGAGTTCGTCACTGACCTGCTGGGGTGAGAGAAAGAAAAGCGCGAGGGCCTCCTTATGGGACGAGGAGCAGTTAGCTACTGTGGCACCCTCTACTGCGATGGTAACTTTTGAAATCACGATACCCCACGGAATCAATAGCAAGCGCCGGCGCCCCAATGCCTCCGTGTCCCACAGACCGGAATATGCGTGTACCCCTTTCGCCCGAGAGATTGGTCGATGATGATCGACAAAACCGTGTGCGAGCAAGCATGGCAAATGTCACAGCGTGACGTCGCTCGGCGGACCATTAACTCCGTACCATTAACACGGATTGTCCGATTCCGTGACGAATCCATCGATCACGGTCGAAGCTTACGCTGGATCCGACGTTTGCCAAAGCGGAGGTCGTTCCACTAAAATTGGCAGCGAGTCGCACGACGGTCGTTCGCCACGTCAGATCTCGGAATGTTTTGCCACTTTACTTTCCCTTTTCCAACAGTTCTTCTCCCTTCGCCACCGCGCGAAATTCTTCGGAATTCTTTGCTTGCACGGCTCTCCAATTACGTCCGAGACGCGTTTCTCCCTTTTACTTTCCCTTTTCCCAAGGGTTCTTTCGCTTCCGCGTGAAATTGCTTCGAGCTCTTTGCATTTCAGAGGAAATTGTTACGAATTCTTTGGCTTTCGGATGAAATTGCTTCGAGCTTTTGGATTTCGGATGAAATTGCTTCGAGTTCTTTGCATTTTTGGTGCAATTGCTTTGAGTTCTTTGGCTTTCAAATAAATTTGTTTCGAATTCTTTGGCTTTTAGATGAAATAGCTCCGAGTTCTTTGCATTTCAGAAGAAATTGTTACGAATTCTTTGGCTTTCAGACGAAATTGCTTCGAGTTTTCAGAGCTTTCAGACGAAATTGTTTCGAGTTTTTTGACTTTCGGATGAAATTGCTTCGAGTTCCCTGACTTTCAGATGAAATTGCTTCGAATTCTTTGGCTTTTAGATGAAATTGCTCCGAGTTCTTTGCATTTCAGAAGAAATTGTTACGAATCTTTGGCTTTCAGACGAAATTACTTCGACTTTTCAGAGCTTTCAGACGAAATTGTTTCGAGCTTTTTGGCTTTCGGATGAAATTGCTTCGAGTTCCTTGACTTTCAGATGAAATTGCTTCGAATTCTTTGGCTTTTAGATGAAATTGCTCCGAGTTCTTTGCATTTCAGAAGAAATTGTTACGAATTCTTTGGCTTTCAGATGAAATTGTTTCGAATTTTTTGGCTTTTAGATGAAACAGCTCCGAGTTCTTTGCATTTCAGAAGAAATTGTTACGAATTCTTTGGCTTTCAGATGAAATTGTTTCGAATTTTTTGGCTTTTAGATGAAACAGCTCCGAGTTCTTTGCATTTCAGAAGAAATTGTTACGAATTCTTTGGCTTTCAGATGGAATTGTTTCGAATTCTTCTTCTTGCGGATAAAATTGCTTCGAGTTGCTTGCTTGCACAATTCTCTGATCATGTTCGGTGTAAAAAATTGTTAACTTGTTTTTCGCAATTCTTGGCCGCTGTATTTGCATCGGCGGCACATACGTTTATTATACGATTCTTCGTGCACCTTTAAAACTTAATTCGCAGCTCGAGGTGCGGTTGCCCAAAGCGAATTTTTCATTGAGGTTCGTAGAGTCTAAAAGGGCCGATGGAGTGTTCGCCGCGATTTTAACACCGCAATTTCGAATCGCGCGTTATATTATATTATACTTTATTATAATTTGAAACAGTTTTCGTACCGCGAGTTCTAAAAAGATACCAAAAGATATTCTTGTTTTACAATGCTTCGTGAATTACAAGCATGCCGATGCGGCGTACAGACTCGTTCGTACAGGTATTTCCGTGCAGCTTTTGATCTGTAGGCGTGAGGACACGACCACGCATTCTGAATGATCAAGTCGAAGCGTTTGACCTTTACGAAAACTGAATCGATACGAAGTTCGTATATTCGTCCGGTCCGTATAGAAGCGCGATTTTAAACAGGATGTGACGTAAAAAAAATTAGGACGAAGCACCGGCCTATTTTTCCCGTGTGTCGGCGCCGACGTCGTTACGTAAGGGAAATTGTTCTTTGGCAAGCGGTCGCTCCCTCGCATTAACAGCTGTTCGCGTTACGCAGAAATCAGGTGAAGAGGGTAAACCGTCGGTGACAATAATGCGATCGCCCTTAATATCGTCCTGTGCTAACGCTCGCTTCGATTAAACATGCTTTCATGGTGACAGACAATCAACGAGCGTTCAAGTTTCCGTGCCGGATGAAAATTGCAGGATAATTTCGTTTACCGGCGAACAGCTGTCGATTTGGTTCGAGCGAAAACACTGTCCGATCGATTCGCCCTCGAATTTGTCACGAACGTCGTTCGCGACGTTCATTTTATGCGTGTACGTAATTGTAATTTTAACGAAACGTCATCGTTTAACGGTGCTTCGATAGCCATCGGCTCGTAATACTAGTGCGACACTTGTCGTAAGTTGCAAACATAAGGGATTAGTCGCAGCGACGGTGGAGAAACCCGTCTTTAATCAGACAAGTGGTACAACACGTCGTTGGCGGGACAGATTCCGTAATGCTCGAAGCAATACGCGTGTCATACCTATTTCGAAATCGGCGCTGTTAACGCGTTAGAATCTGGATAAAGAATATTCATGGAGATTAATCAAATTATTGTGTGTCCGACTTAACATTCTTGCAACATTGACAGAATTACTTTGATCCATTTACGCCGCATGGCATTAGTTACAAAAAAATACAGCACATTACACAATTTATACATTATTCGAATCGCAGGCTTAAGGAATGCAAAACTCTTATTGAATTTTATAACACGTTCACACCTGAACAGTTGGTTTCTTGATTTATCACAGAGGATGTTTTTATCTGCTGCACCGCTTCAAGGCGTGGGAAAAGAAGACGAAAGAAATTGGAGACAAAAATAATTTTATTTTATAAATTTTCGTAAGAAAGATGTTGCTGTAAAATGATTGCTGTACAAAAGGTTCGCGGAAGAGTATTGCTCAACGAACAGTCTCCTTTATTAGGAACTGTGTGATGGCCAATATCTCTGAAATATACATAATATAAGTTAGCGATGGAACCGCTAATTAAGTAGAATATTAATCAAGGATAAGTGCTCACGATCGATTCGTTCTCTTTTAAATCTGTCCTCGACGAACAAGTTTGTCAAATCTTCCGCCATCTCATCGTTCCTCCAATTATAGTGATTGATGCTTCCGTGGATCCGAAGGTATCTACGTTTCATACGAATTCAAGAAAATGATCGCGTCGGGTATAGAGAAACATCGAACGGACAATACCGATGCTATTAAAGGATACAAATCGTGATAATAGTTTAGTCCATCCATAGCACACTTTAAGAGTAGATTCAACCTCGGCCTGTACGGAGTCCCATTGACCAACTCTTTCATCGCGTCGTCGTTCAACGAAACCTTGCTGCGAGCGTCTTCCAAATTTTTATAACGGGACCTTAGACTCTGAAACGAACATTCGATCGAGAGACTCGGACAGAAAATTTGCAAGAAAATCTTTAACTTCGTCTTCTCGATAATATTACTTATTCGACTAGTCGACGATGATGAAACGGTAAATTCGATTCAAGGTGAAAAAAAGAAATGTTACGTAGGAAAATTAATTACTTGATTGACGTTATTGAAACGCGTCGAAATATCCAGAAGCAATGTAATTTCGTTGTCGATTCCTAGGAGAATTTTATAAATCAATCGTCCGCGTGTCTCGTCCGTATTGCAGAAAATTGCGTTATCGACACCCTCGCTGTAAGGCAACGACATCTGTTTGTGAATCGGTGAGCTCTCTGCCGTATCGAGCGTTCACGCCGGTTTCGAATTGTTCGTCGAGTTTCCGTTCTGGAAACTTGTCCGAATAACAACGTGGAAGCAGACGGTACCTTGTAACGAGGCGAAGTTGCTCCAATTGATTTTTTAACGCGTGCAGCGGCCGTTTGGCTTCCTCCGATAATTCCTTCCATTTGCAGTCGACTTTCTCCAGTTGCGTGAAATAACCAATTAACTCTTTGTGCAGTTCCGTTGCCATAATTTATAGGTTAATTCATAGCACCACGTTACCAGATATTACTACATTTGGAATACGTTGCTTGAAGTAAGCGCCGTTGGAAGAACTTCGCACATGTTCGAATGACTTTCGATATGGGCGAATGTTTACCGGCGCAATACGAACATTAATACTAACGCAACCTAGTGGATATGTATAATACGTTTGGTCGATTGTAAAAACTTCGTAACACGGTTGCTCTTTTTAATGTGCTCTAATAAGATCGCGCGTGAGCATCTATGCAAGAAAAAATAATGAATAGACAATTAATCATTCTGCTCCAATTAAACGGTGTAATTCATTGCTATATACGTCCTCCAACCACATATTCGAGTAGCTAGTACGCGTTTTACGTTATCGTTCTATATTACAGTAATTTTCGTAGCTTCGTGTAAGCCTGAATGTAGTCAAATTTAATGAATATTGCGTCATCTTTCATATTTATGTTAAGAGACCAGAATGATCGAGGAAAAATGAAAACGCTGAGAATACAACATAATAATAGAAATGAGAAATGAGCGTGCAACTTTTGATTGCCTGTAAATAACACAAGACGTAAATGTAAAATCTTCACGAAACGTTATTCGACTTCGATTCGAATTGTTCCATAATACTTGAAACCTGCAACTTTACCCTACCTTGACATAGGACGAAATTATAGATCGCGATTAGTATATTAATCTTTAAACAGTCAATACCTTGAAAATAAGACAACGGGAACTTCGAAACTAAGCCAACCTACAGCTGCGCGCGGTACGAAATCCTTGTATAAATAAACTTTGTTCGATAATTCCCGATCATTTTAATTGACACGAATTCTACAATTTTGTACAAGCACGAACCGTTCAATTTTCCAAAATTAATATTTTTTCGTACGAACCAACGACCGTATACTTTATCGACGCACATACAATCGACGATTAATATTTCTTAGCATTCAACATTAATATTATACATAATCGCATACTAATTTCGTCAACCGTTTTTCCACGACTAACTGTACTGTCTTCCAAAAGCTGAGCCTTTAAATTAATAAAATTATTTCAATCCCTCTTAGCGCCGACCAATAACAATTTTGTAAAAGTTGACAATTTGAAAATTCTTAAAGGAAAAAGAAATAAGAAGTATAACTGTCATTTAATATAAAATTGCTAACATAACATCATTTTCTCAGGCGTAGTGTCGACAACGATGTATCGTTGTGTACAAATAAACGGAATTACATTTGGAAGTATATAGAATGTTCCAGCATTACTAAATATTTTAAAATATCCTGAAAAGTAGCAAAATTGGTAGATAACGCATATCGAGTAAAGGCAGCAATTCGCTTTTCGATCGTATGAAAAATTCGAATCAATCGAGGACGGAATTATTCGAAAATAGAAGAGGGCACGGGACCGAACGTGTACGTCCTTGGCTCGTGCTCGTTGGGGGTGGTCGGATGGGAGGCCGAGGGAACTTTCGACGAGGCGACGCGGTGCGCACTGCGCACGCATCTGACAGTATCCCCGAGTGTTCGGTAGAGTTCGGTAACGGTCGGGAGAGCGCTTGGCCGGTTTGTTCGGTCGAACGAACCGCGAGAGCACAGTGTACCGTCGACCAACAACCCTTTCGCGTGCAAGGATGTCTCATCACGGCTAATCAAAACTCCCCTTTCTCACTCTCACTCTTCCTCTCTTTCTCTCTCTCTCTCTCTCTTTCTCTCTTTGCCTCCGTTTCTTTTTCCTTCCCCGCTGTACAACACCTTCGACCGTGTATCGGGACAGTGTGGCAGGAAACATCGAGAGCATAACGTTGGAACTTTCTCACCTGGCCGATTCGTATCGACGTTTCGCGGCCAACACAGTGCGTGACTCTCGACCGAGCAGCTAAACCGTGCGACTCTGATCTGGTCTCGTCCCACCCCACGGCCACCGCTCTCTCGCGCGCACTCGTGCACTCTCTCTCCCTTTGTCCCTCTCCCTCGTTTTCTCCGGCGCGGAGAAACATGGACGAGACAAACGGGAAAATGCGGAACAAGCAAGAGGACGTGGATACCGCATCCCTCGGCGCTGACATCCTGAACCCGTTCGTACACCGTCTCGAGCTCGACACAACCTACGACAAGCTCAAGGTCAGTGGTTCTCCGAATCCTTCCGTACACGGGAATCCCGAGAGGGATCGATGCTCACGCGGTCGAGTGTTTAGGGGTTGTCGAAGCCGTGCCGCGGAGCGGGGAGGGGACGCGCCAACGATCCTAATCGCGGGAGAAACGACTGCGTCTTCCCGTCCGGTCCGTTCCGGCGGACAGACACGCCGGCATACACTCCCGGACAAACAGATTGCACGGCGAATTAAGTCTGCCGGAAAGGACTGCACGTTATTCATACTCTTTCGTTCCGAAACGTTTCACGAACGTTCTTACCGTTTATTTGAATCGGCTCGGATCGTTTGTGCGCTAAAACGAAGCTGCTCGAAAGTTTTCGACCGTTCTTACTACCGGCTTCTTAGGTTAGAAAACCTCGAAAATATGGTAATGCGTTAATTGCGGAAATACAAACAATCGACGATGTTTGCATAAATTCTCGGGAGGTTGAGTGTCCGTATTTGACGCTGTAGACAGAGTATGATGTAAATGATTATATGAATAAGATGATACGATTGTATGAATAATAATGATGTTATATGAAAAGAAAAAATTAAATTTGACAAATTGGCGTAGGCAAAAGTTCAATACACTTGAAAACTAGCTTCGACTGTGGAATCGAGTAGTTTTTCAGATACGTAAGATTACCTTTTTAGCAATGATCTTATCTTGTACGTTTAAGAAGAAGTATTTAAAGCACCGTATTAAAATGTACACTTAGTACAAGGTATTTAATATAAAGTATTAAACGTACAATGTTAATATTGTACAGTAGCCAAATTATTAATAAATAGATAGCTTAAATTTGTACGATACCGAAAATGGTAATTTCCTACGATCTACATTAATTATCTTTCAAAACCATTTACGGTTTGTTTTATCGCTGTGTTCAAATTATATATACATTATTACCTTATTACCTTCGAAAACACATTATATTTGTATGTTTTCGCTTTACATTTTCGGTTTTATTTACACAACAAGTTTTAACGATCATCACCTGTTGCGATATTAAAAAAACGAGCAATTTTGTATCCTCGAATTATTACAACAAATCGATGCTATTTGTAACAAACAAATTCAAGAACAGCTTCCTAGTCGCAAGGATGCTTTTCTCGAACTCTTTTGCAATAAAAATTTTTCGTCAAATAGTCGCTTAACATTTAAAACAAAAATAAGTCTTCCGCCATGTTGCGGCGGTAATGCCATTATTTCACCGGCGTGGAATTTCTACGGCTTCCAGTTAAAGAACTCGAAAAGGCTTAATAGTTCCGCGACGATCGAACCCGGTTCGCGCCAGCAATGTAATTCATCGGATACCATCGTACCGCGCGATCGATGAACAATAAATATTTCTATTATTCAACGTGCACGTACGTACAGCACGCCGACTAATACATACACCACGTGGCCGCTGCACAAGACTAATCGGCGATCTTATCGATCCCGCGCGCCAGCCAAAAGAATTAATAGTTCGCGACTCGTCGCGCACGTCGAGCATATTTCGAGTGACGGCGCGTGAAAATGTTCCCTTTTTTTCTGTCCACATGCGCACGGCAAAAGCTTGCGCGCATCATGCTAAAGCGATTTCGTGCTGTCGCGTCGCATAAATATTCAGCGCGAGATGCAGCTTTCAAATCGAGGCACAAAAGCAATGACACGTTGCACGCGCGCGTCTATATCGCGCATCGCGAGAAAGGGAAACTGTTACAGAATTCACTTTGGAATCTGGCGGCGGCCGTACTAAAATCAGGCTCGCTTTGGCGAGCAGCGCCACGGATGCATTTTCCTTCGAATGCGGCGAAAAGATACCTGGATGTTCCGTTGCTCAAGGATTTCATTGGTCTGCTCGTGTGACCATTGCGGTGGCATTATGTAACAGGAATCCGACGGTAACACGAGAAAAGATGAAATTACAAGGAAAACCAGTTATGCAGTTTCCATAACGTGGCGTATCACGATGATCACCTTGCGGATCCTGACACGAAATTCATTTTTTGAACGACGCCGTCGATGGAGAAAATTCAAAAAAGAAAATCACTGCGTCGCATCTATTCAAAACTATGTGCACGATGTGTTAAAATGTTTAAATAATCATATTTAGGAACAGAATGATCAAAAAATTCAGCAAGAGTTTAATTTCAAGCGAGTTCTCCGAGCGAATATTCGGAAGATCGAATGGTACGTTAATTCGCAACGCAGTTTGTTTACATTGTTCGATGAACAAAAGGCCACGTTACGAAGTAATCTTTGTAGAAAATGATTGCCGGGGGTTATATGATTGTAATTAATCTGTAAAATTGTTATAATACTTGCAGGCAATATAATAATTGAGCCGAAATGAAATAATTAAGTTCGTTTTATTTTCCTAAACTTCGGATAAGGTTTTAAAAACAAATCGGCTCAAAATATCCTGGGATTCCTATTCCTCCGTATTCATCGGATACTATATTTTGATATTATATAAACTTTTTTTTGCGAAAAGTCTTCAGAGTTTTTAGGCACAAAGGCAAAAAATGATGCAAAGTAGATAGTATATGAACTGTAAAGTAAATGAAATTTAATGAAAAGTAAATAGTATAGCAAATTTCGAAACATTAAAAACATTATGGTATTATTTACAACTCATACAAAATAATTAGGAAAAGACATAAGTACATACATATTTGCGGTCCGCCCCACTGTTGCTCGTCCCGACTCCGGCGCAGTAGACGGAGGGTTAATAGACTTAAGAATTTAGCCGCATTTCGATCTCTCCGTGTTTTTATTTTAAAAGGGGAAACAATGCTCTTATATCCGAAGTGGCTTTTCTACATAGGGGTTTGTATATTTTAAAAGTCATGATTTACTCATTTCCGTAGAAAAGTGATTTTTTTCTAAAAAAAAAAGAAATATGTTTGCACAGGTTTATGGGCTCAAAAATATAATTCAACTTTATTTGAACTGTTTTTGGACATGTCGCTTGCGATTTATAAGTAGGAGGGCCGGTTCGAATAAATGGGCTGATTTTTACCCTTAAAATATCACCGAAGAATTTAAACCGAATGTGCTCGGTAGAAATCTTCGTCACCATGAACTGTTGCACGTCGAACATCGTCGCACTTGTTACGGGATCTTTATCTGTTGCAGTCGTATTTATGCTTGCCAAAACAACGTTTATTTTCGATAATTCGCCTTCCGCGCTCAAATCTTCTCTACGTAATATTTCTATTCAAGTTTAGTCTGTCACTGTAATATTTACTGCTTAATCAATGGGTTCTTCTATCCGTAAATAAATAAATAAATAAATAAGTATCAAAAACGGAAACGAACGAATTATGGATAAATTCTTGGCGGGTGTTCTGAACAAAATCGGCGTGTATCGATCGCCGGGGTTCCCTCGTAAGTCGTACGCGATAGTATGTCTGGGCGGTTCCAGATAATTACCGATTAAAATTGCATTGATCCGGATTACCGGGAATAAGATCGGAATTACAAGATTTTCTTACAGTAATTTTATAAGATTTCAACGAGAAGCGAGAGCGCGACGCGTATCTGAGTGTTATTGAATTTCGAAGCCTCTGGTTTCAGCTTATTCGTCTCGCTGGACAGGAAATCTCTTTAACTATTACAAGAACATCTCACGGTGACACGTTGAATCGCGTCGAATAAGGTGTCGTAGCGCTCGCCCCTAGCAGTCGCGACCGCCACGTTCGAATAGTTATTTTTATTTTCGTTTTATTCAACCGATAAATGTTTATAATTGATTTCGTCCCCGAGGAGTAAAACGGCTTATGAAGTTGATATTTTGGCAGGTTGTGATTAAATTGTTGGATCCGGAACGTTGCTGGCCGAGAATATTGGCATCCTTTGGGGGGTACGTGCTTAAGCACGTGTATAACCTATCGGGGGAAAGGGGTTGGCTCATGTATTTCCGACTCTACCGCTACAATCTTACTTATTGCTATAGCATGGTAGCCTCCAGTGACGCTCTCGGCAGCAAGATTTCCTTCAATAGGCACGTTGTCTGCCTAGAGCACGCGTGGTCACAGATCTTGCCCTGTAGAGCGCTGCCCTGGCTCCTAGAGAGAGAGAGCTACGAAACCACGCCCACCCAGCAGTCTCAGGACACTCTGCACCGAGGAGACGAGATAGAGGAAAAACGAGGTAGATAGAGTAGAATATAAATGCAGATTTAAATAAATAGATAGCAATGTATAGTGCAAGAGACATCGGGACAAGATAGATAGAGAACAAGGTAGACGCAACGCAATATACTGAGAAAACAGATAGATGGAGGGGAAGGAAGATAGAAAACATTTAGAGCGAAGGGCAAAATTGATACAGTACAAAATAAATGGAGATCTAAATGAATGACAAAACAGAGTGCAAGACGTTTAAAGAGCAAGATAGATAGGCTACAAAATGTTTGAAGAACAAGATAGATGCAGGATAAAATAGACGCAACGCAATATACTCGGAAAACAGATAGATGGAGGGAAAGAAAGATAGAAAACATTTAGAGTGAAGGGCAAAATTGATACAGTACAAAATAAATGGAGATCTAAACGAATGACAAAACAGAGTGCAAGACGTTTAAAGAGCAAGATAAATAGGCTACAAAATGTTTGAAGAACAAAGTAGATGTAGGATAAAATAAATAGAGAACATCTTCAGTAAACAGCAAGGTGGATGCAACGCAAGATACAGAAGAAGTAATATAGGTGAAGATAAGGCAGGCAAGAAGCACTTCAAGTAGAGAACAAGATCGACAGAAAGTACTTCAAGAAGAGAGCAAGATGAAGTACAGAAAAAATGGAGAGCTAAATAAACACCAAGATAGATGGACATTTTCAGTAATGAACAAGGTGAATGCAACGCAAAGTACTGAAAACAAGATAGTGCATAATAATAGCCTCAATATCTAATCGAAAACTTGAAAAAATATCATACTTGTATATTTCTATTTTGTATTTTCTAATATAGAAACATATAAATATGATATTTTC